GCTGTTTAGGCATGCGGGAGCTGGGCATGCGGGCTACATGGCCCAGCCAACGCAGCCTTGCCTGCCGGAGGAGCTCACCGATGGGACTTTGCCCAGATCTTTCAAGGATTTGTGAGCTCCTCACTCAATCCAGCCTGGTTAAACCCAGGATGGATCGTAGGCAGGCCAGCCTAAATGTTTCCAACCGGCGAAGATGCTCCATTAGGGGGGTCCACGTTTCGCAAGCGTAGACACACGCAGACACACACACACAGATACGGGGAGACACGGGGAGACACACACAGAGACACAGCGAGATACTGAGAGACACACACAGACACACACACAGAGACACGGAGAGACATGGAGAGACACACGCAAGACACACACACAGAGACACGGGGAGACACACACACAGAGACACAGACAAACGACGAGGATCCCCCGTATAGCCTTTACAGACTGTTGGGGCAAGTGCTGTTAGCGAGCACCTATGCCTATGAAGGCCGGCACGGCACACGAAAGGGTCGGTGGCCAACGCCACTCCCAGCTGCCTTTGTCTCCCTAGTGGCGATGTTTACACACCGAACCAGGTACTCATTTAAGGCCGAGTCGACCTAGGGGAGGCCCACGACCGGTTCAAACATTCGTCACTGGTGTTGGTGGCCGTGAGCGGGAATCGAACTTGGGACCACCGGCTTTGTAGTGCAGTTTGCTAACCGCTGCGCCACCGCTCCCCACACACACACACACACCGACGCACACAACAACAACAACCGCCATTCGCCACGAAGTGACGGTTACGTCACCACGGCGCCTGTGCCAGGCCAAGTGTCAAAGGCTCCCTGCTGACAGGAGGCCACGTGGCAGACCCAGCAGGCGCCATGGGTTGGCCGACTGAGATGAGGATCAGATGCACCACCTGTACCCCCTACTGGGCCACACACACAGTGACACACACGGTGACACACACACGGTGACACACACACACATTGATACACACGGTGACACACACGGTGACACACACACATACACGTGGCGACACTGACGTGAATTCTAGACACGCGCTGATTCACGGAAGGAGACGAGTCTTATTAAACACATCGATGATTTCTGTTAAAAAAACGTACCAATTTTAAAACCTACACGAGGGCGATTGTGTAGTGTGCTAATTCACAGACACTAGTAGGAGGTAAACTCTCTCTCCTTTATTCCGGCCTTCACAGCCTGCGGGGATAACCACACACCGGGACAGCCAACACGCCGCCGGACTCACAGCTTGAAGAGGGCGAAGATCACGACGACGACGACGCAGATCAAGACGAGTTCCACTCCTCCAGATGGCAGCAGCCCCGACTGCGAGTCGGAGCAGCCCCGACCGCGAGTCGGAGCTCGTCCTTTTATCCTCCCCAGCGTGGCCAGGCTCCGCCCGCGGCCCCTGCACCCCTCTCGATCCCCCGCACCCCTCTCGATCCCCCGCACCCCTCTCGATCCCCCAAAGGGCTCCGTGCCTCGCCCACAGGTGCAGCTGGTAGAAGGAGCTGCTACCCCTGATCCTATTGTCTACCAGTCTCCCAGCGGCACACGCTGCAGTGACTCATTCCATGTCACTACAATTGTATTATTATTATTATTCTGCTCGGTGGTACCAAACACGAGTTTATCGGCCCCGCGGTTGTTGTGGGTGGGCGCAGAGATGTGTGATTGTTCTGCTGTCAGTGGAAAATGATGTCGACACCTCATCAACATCATCAATATCATCGACATCGGTATCATCAACATCATCAGCATAATCATCAGCAGAAGCATCATGATCAGCGTCAGCATCATGATCAACATCATCATAATAATCATCATCAGCATAATCATCAGCATCATCATCAGCATCAAGATCAACATCAGCATCATCAACAGCAGCATCATAGCCACATCCACTACCACCACTTTTACTATCATCAGCATCTCGCGGTGTAAATTCCTATCATTATCACGGAGCAAGAAACACGGACGTTCTATATAGGGTGTTTCAAAGGGATGGACCCGATTTGAAATCTATTCACTAACTATTTTTATTTGACCAGGTAAGGCCCACTGAGCGATACAGCTTTTTTTCAGAAGCGACCTGGCTAATCACAGCTCAACGAAGTGGCTTATCATCATCATCATCATCGTACAGAAAGATATCGCAGCCAAAATACTCTAAGCGAGTGGAGGGAAAACCCGGAGGGCCCGGAAAAAAATCCACGCGACCACGTGGAGCGATTGAGACACGCAAACTCCAAATATACAGCAGGCGCATAGAAGCAGAAACCATCATCACGACAACTCTGGCCATCCCCGCAGCGGCTTCTGGCTGCTGCCATCGAACAAACACGGTCACCGCTTTCAGAGCCGCTGGTTCTGCGGCCGTCTGGGACGCTCTTCCCCTCCGATACGAGGAAGCCACTGTGGAGCTATGAAGCACTTTTCACTCTGCGGTGAAAACTCATTCCTTTCACCAGAGGTGTGGACTCGAGTCATG